TATATATATATATATATATATATATATATATATATTTCTTTTTGTTAAGCAGCTGAGATAAGCATGAATAAATTTTTTCTTGAGCTTGATTAATAAAGAGAGTTAAATTTGACTCTCTTTTTTTTCCAGCCTTGTTCAGCTCAAATTAATTAAATAATTAAAGAAATAATATTTTTATAACAATTTGTATTAATTTTATATATTTTATTTTAAAAATTGTTTATTTTTTATTTCTAAAATCATTCAAGCTGACTAAGAGCTGAAATACACAAACAAATTCAAATCGAGTCAAACAAAAACATGACATAAACCTATATCTTAATAAAAGCAATTTAAACGAGCTGAATGAACAATTGACTGACTCAAACTCAACTTGTTTTCACCCATATCGAGTCACCATCTCAACCACTCAAAAATAGTTAATTGCTTACTATAATCAAGATAGATTTCGTGGTATTTATAGCAGAAAAGACACGGACTCAACTCTTTTTTTTTTATTTTTCTGAGTGCATATATATTTCTGTTGCATGCATAAAAAAATTGTAGTGCTTGAGATCATGGATTTGCATTTATTGTAGTTGGGGCTGTAAGAAACCAATGTGTTTGATCAACAACTCAAACTCGAGTCGATTAATACTTGATTATATTTGTTAAAAATAATAATTAAATAAGTTCGAACATTGCATGTATAGGGCATTCAAAAAAGCTCGTTGTTCGCGAACAGTTCGTGTTCGGTTCGTCAATGAGTTCGTGTTCGATTCGTTCGATAAGTAAACGAGGCAAACGCGAACAAATTTTTTTCGTTCGGTTAGTTAAACGAACCAAACACGAACAGTGATGCGTTCGTTCGTGTTCGAATCGTTATTATTTGAAATATAAAATAATATAAAATAATTATATATAAAACATTTATTATATTTTAAAACATTAAATTTTATAAATTATAATATATAATAAAATAATAATAATAATATATTAATATACTATAGTAGTAATATACTAATATAGATATTGTATATTTATATAATATAAGTTATATAATTAATATATAATATTATTTTTATATATTAATATTAGGGATGTCAAACTCGGCTCGTTCGTTAAGAAACGAACACGAGCTTATTTCAAACAAACTAAATTTTAAACGAACCGAACACGAACACAAGCTTTGTTCGTTCGTGTTCGGTTCGTTTACACCCCTATGCATGTACAGATGGCACCTTTTTATTAGTTATATTCCATGTTAGATTTTTATATGTTGAAGGCTAGTATAAATTAAATGCATACTTTTCTTTTTATATTTCAAAATTTTTTTTAGTGATGAATGATGATTTTCAAAAGAGCATGCTGTGCGTGATATTGAGGTATTGTTAAAAGTTTATTTAAGTTGCTAAATTTATGTTTCTTTCTTCTTCTTATGTTTAGGTGTTCCTTTTTTTCTTTTTTTTTTTATAACTATTTTTTTTAATGTGAAATGCTCATTTTCATGCATAGGTACAAAAAACATGTTATTAGTTTAAGCTTTGTGTGTAAAAATGAAAGTTTAGGTGTGAGATAGGTGAATATATAAGAATTGGGTGCTATGTATGAAATTTTCCCTTGGTTTTATATTTGTAAATATATTACATGGGATTGTATTTTCTTTATTAATTTTTTAGGTATTCATTATTACATCATTATTGTATCTTTTAGGTTAAATTTAATTACTTTTATTTATTTATTTCGTCATTCGGTTCGACTCCGATCGAAGCAATGAACCTTGAAATTTTCATTCTTCCAGTTTGATGTCTGGTTCGGTACCTTGGTATTTTGAGTATTTAAAAAGTGATTTTGATGATCTAGGTGCATTTGCAAAGTTCCTTTTGTAAAATAATGCTCCAATAAAAAAAATTCTATATGAGACCAATATTCATGGATTTTTATTTTTCATGCTTGAAAGCTCGCTAATACACCTAAAATATATAGTGTTTTTTAGACATATTTTTATACCTATTTTTGAGATATTGCGCTTTAATGGAAGGTATTTGTGTGTTTTTCTTTCAGGTACAAGTAAAAAGGGGAAAAATACTAAAATGAGTGAAAAAATGATCAAATTTGGAGCAAATAGGTGAAAATTGTCCTAAAGTGCTTTAGCACCTAAGCGTCGGTTAAACAACGAGGGCCGCACCTAAGCGCCAGAGGCCCCGCGCTTAAGCGCCAGAGGCAGGTATTTGACGATTTTTTTCCTTTTGCTGAATTTTTTCATTTGGCTGAATTTTGAAGAGGTATTTGAGGTACTTATTGGCTTAAGAGGGTGGTTATAACCACTAGAAACAAAAATATGGTTAAAAAACTTATGAAAGGAGGCATCTTTTGGAGAATACATGGAATTTGGACACATTTTTAAGAGATACCAAGACACAAGTTCAAAAACTATAAAAAGAGAGGCTTGGAACTTTTGAGGGGCTGCTTCTAGTCTCTTCATTAAGAAGAAGATCGTGGAGAGATTCAAACACCACAAAATTTACTTTTTCCTTTTTTTTTAGTTTTATTTTGAGAGTTGAGAGTTTTGTCAAAGACAAGATATTCAAAGGAACTTCAAGAGTTTGGTGGAGGATTTGAGATAAGTTTTTATCTTTTGTTTTAAACTATATTTGCTTTTAATCGAGATTTCTTATTGGTTTGACAATGATTTCTACTTTTAAACTAAAGTGTGGTTTTGTTTTCTCCATGAATTATGAGTAGTTTTCTTTATCTTTCTCCTTAAAATAATAAGTAATTAAAGTTTGGATGGAAGTTGTAGATAGTTTTGATCTTTAATGTTGGAAGAAGTTGTGATGATTTAAATCCATGAACTTCATTTACTTTTTGATTTGACCAATTCAGATGTTAAAATTTGTTGTGAAAACATGTAAGAACCGGACTGATATTGTCTCAATCAATAATTGGAAAGAATCGCATGAGGTTGTATGAATGAGAATGTAATTTATATGATTTAATGCAAATAAATAGGAAAATAATCATTGAAGGGTGTAGAAGAGGACTTTAGAGTGACAGGATAAAGCCCCCAACTTGATTTATTATTTTAGGTTCTGATACGAGATGTTAGTCCCCAGGTAGAGGGAATCAAGAGAACTCTAGAGTGAGAGTTGGTATCTTCTC